TCGAGTGATTAAACTGGAGTTGCACTAAAGGCATCAGATGAATGCAGACAGTTCAGAGGATTGTGGATATGTAGGAGATTACAAAGATAGGGTAGGGAACAGGCAATGGAGAGATTTGAAAATGGGGATGAAAATTTTTAAAAGTTGCTTCACTGACAATCAACGCAAGTCAGAAAGCACATGGGTGACAGCCAATGTGACTTGGTGCAAGTTAAGTAATAGGCAGCAGAGTTTTCGATGGCCTCAGTTTATGAAAAATGAAATGTGGAGACTACCCAGGAATGTGTTGAAATAGTCAAGTCGAAAGATGATGAAGGGATGGAGAACGGTTTCCAGCTGCAGATGAGTCGACAAAATAAAATACTGGCAAGGTTTTCTTTCTCGATTATTTTGTGTTTTGATGCCAATTTGCTGATTAATTTATGACCTGCCTTATATATTGACTTTGTCTAGCCATTGTTGAAAACTCTTGGTCTTGATAGTTCTCCAACTTGTACCCTGGATTTCCCATCATGTCTGTCAAGAATCTGTTAGCATTCATCTCATGAATCATAACTTGTTTTTTTTTGGAAGATTCCAAGCCATTCCACAGTCTGAACCCCATTACTCCATGTTTCATATTCAGTAAGCTTCAACTTATGGGCTGAGGAAGTTCTGAGGAAGGGTCACTGGACCGGAAATGTTAACTCTGTTTTCTCCTTCACAGATGATGCCAGACCTGCTGAGCTTTCCAGCAACTTTGTTTTTGTTCCTGATTTACAGCATCCGCAGTTCTTTTGGTTTTCAACTTATGGGCTGTTGAGTGGCAAATGAAACTCAATCTGGATAGGTGTGAGGTGATGCATTTGGGCAGGACAAACAAGGAAAACAAGGCAGTATAAATACTATGACCCTGGGAAGCATCGAGAATCTGAAGGACCTTGGTGTGCATTTCCGCTGGTCCCTTAAGGTGGTAGGACAGATAGATAAAGTGATCAAGAAATTGTACGGGATACTTGCCTTTATTAGTTGAGGCAAAGAGTATAAAAGCAGGAAAGTCATGCTGGAACTGTATAAAACATTGATTAGGCCGCAGCTAGAGTACTGTGTGCAGTTCTGGAATCTACGTTATAGCAGGGATGTGATTGCGCTGGAGAAGTTGCAGAGGAGATTTACCAAATGTTGCCTAAACTGTCAAGTTTTGGTCATAAAGAGAGATTGGATAGATTAGGATTGCTTTCCTTGGAGCCAAAGAGACTGAGGGGGAACACGATTGAAATGTATGAAATTGAGGGATATGGATAAGGTAGACTGGAAGGAAGGTTTCCTCTTGGTGGAGGGATCAATGACCAGGGGACATAGATTTCAGGTAAGGACAAGACAGGATGTGAGGAAGAATCTTTGTTACCCAGAGGGTGGTGGGAATCTAGAACTCACAGCCTTTAAGGGTGGCAGCAACAGAAACCCTCATAACAATTAATAAGTGCTTAGGTACAGACTTGTGATGCCAAGGCTGTGGGCCAAATGTTGTAAAATGGGATTAGAATAGCTTATTTTCTCATCTTCTTTGTTTCATTTAAGTCATGTTCTGAGAGACTACAAATTATTACTTGCTAACGGGAGGTGACAAGCAGCTCACAGAGCCAGGGAAGATGAAAGAAACCAGAACAAGAAAGCAAAACATTTGACAGTAAGTGACAGGCAGCAATTAAAGACAGGGAAGGTGGAAAGAAGAGACTAAGAAGTTGACACACAACAGAATGCAAGAGGAACCAATTCTACAAAAGTAAGAGACCAAGACTCTCTAAGGACATCTTTATCTATGATTCTCATCATAATTAAGAGTCAGACCCAGAATACAATGTTGGCAGTAGGTCAGGGATATGTGAACAATGTGGTGCATGAAGTGGAAAAAGAAGAGTCACTTTTAATCTGTTGTGCAAACTGTAAAGTACAATTTCACCCCAAGTGAGTTTTTTGACCCATTGAACGTTGTTCCCATGAGAAAACAAATAGAATTCAAACATTTCCCAAGGCCCATCAAAAGAAATGTAACAACTGATTAGGGTTGCCAAGAAATCTTTTTATTTTGTCTTGAAGAAGAAAGAAATTCTAATGTGGCCTTTCATGAAATATTAATGTTTCAACAATCATTGAAAATGCAGACAGTGACACTGGAAATGTAAACAGTAATGCTGCAGACACCGATGGTAAAATATTCAGCGTATTAACAAACATTGAGGAATGTAGAATGAGAATGAGATGTAGATTTTGATCCTGAGAATTTTGAGAGTGACATTGGCGTTGTAGAGGATGATTAGTAGAAATCATAAGGTAAAAATTGTGAATCTGATTAAACTACAGTCAAGAGAAGGAAAGCAAATAAAGGTAAGTTAGTTGTGAAAAGGAATGTTTTTTGTCAAATAATGTTTTGAATATAATTGTGTGAATTTAGATATTTATGTTTTGAATTTGCAGATTAATATTTAAAAAACAGGTGTGAAAGAAAGTGATGAAGTGAAATGTTGAATGAAATCAGTTTCATCTAAAGAATGTCTTAAATAAATTATTTCATAGAAACATTATCATAGTCTGATTTTCAGCTTTAATGCCTATTGTATTCAATCCATAAGTCCATAAGGCAAACATTTCAATGTACTGTTTCATTAGTATTTTTTAAATCCTATTTTTAACTTTCAGCCCTTTATTTCCTGAATGTAGGATGGGTAAACCAGCTTGTAGTGAATAAGGATAATGAATTTGGACAAGAGAAGGGTTATATAACATTTGCATAGTGCGATGGAAATGGGACAAAGGTTGGAAGATGAGGAATTAAGTGCCAATGCAGTGATCTTATGAAAACCTGAAAAGAGATTGTTAAGGAAAGAGGGTGAGGGAATCTATTAGAGGTTTTCAAATTAATGAAAGACAAACAGTGAAATGTCATTTGACAGAAATAGATTATATATTTGAAGTTAGCACGAAAGTACAACAGCAGGAGGGTTAGAAGAAATATTTTCACAAAGATTTATTAGAATATAGAATACTATAGTGCGGGTGGTTATTGAGATAGAAATTTAAAAATCACTTAATTGGGGAATGTATTTGGAAAGGAGGAATTTAGAAAGGAGAAAGAAAAATGTGATTGATTTGATTTGATTTATTACCGTCACATGTTATGAGGCACAAAGAAAAGTGTTGTCTTACATGCTTTACAGGCAGATCGTACTATACAAGTGCATCAGGGTAACAGAACAGAGTGCAGGATACAATGTTACAGCTGCCAAGAAGGTGCAGAGAGAGATCAACATTAACATTAAAGAGTAGATAGTTCAAGTTGGAGACCTAGCATGTTATAAATACAATTAGCTGAATGGTCTCTTTCTGTGATAAAAAATGATGTCATGGTTGATTTCTTTTTCTGAGTTTAGTTCCCCACTTTCACATAACATACAGCAACTTAGAAACTCACAGTACAATTAGCTCATGGTTCTCTGATCATATTATAGGCTGGTTCATTAATTCTACCAGGCCCAGTGCTTGCAGCTGAGAGCCCCGTCGGGAAGGAGCGTTGGTAGGAAAAGACATTTTAGATAATCTCCAAACAATGTATTGAATTGAAATAGTGTCATGTTTTGATATTGGCAATTCTGAGATTGTGACTTCTTTTTGATCACAGTGTAATGTGGTGAATATGCTTTCAGGGCTTCACTTCAATGTATGGACCAGAAATCTGATGGCACTGTGATTATTTTCTAGATACCGAACAGGCAGCTAAGCCTTCAATATCTCAAAGTGAATACTCATTACAGGCTGGAGGTATGCTCTCCTTCATGTTGGTGTAGGTTAAAAATAGACATCCATGGCTCATGTTTTGAACTCCCCCAATTTGGTAACTAAATTTGATCATGCCCATTTGAAGCACCTTAGGATATTTCTGAACAATGAAGATCTCCTCATGTTGCTATTGTGATTGGCAGAAAGGGCTTACAGTCTGTTGCAAACACTGAAGGCAGTAGTAATCGTCTTCCCAGCAGTTACCCAGAGTAAACTGTAGCTCATCCAAGATTGGGTTTGACAGCAAAGAGATGGGGATGAAGAGGGTGGGAACTAGGCTGGTGCTGGAGAGGTGGAAGGAGGAAAGGATGGGAAGAAAATCTATTGCTGGAGATATTCTGGTTACAAATGACTATAGAAGAATGGGAACCAAACAAGAAGCAGTTTATTGAGCTGGAAAATGGAGGAGAGGGGTTGGAGGAGGATGGCGTGGTTAATTAAATTGAACAAAGCACTATAAATACACCAAAGGAACAACCACAGATAATATGAGATAACACAGTGTGGAGCTGAAGGAAAACAGCAGGCTAGGCAGCATCAGAGGAGCAGGAAAGCTGACGTTCGTCAGGAGCTTTCCTGTTCCTCTGATGCTGCCTGGCCTGCTGTGTTCCTCCAGCTCCACACTATGTTATCTCTGACTCCAGCATCGGCAGTTCTTACTATCTCATTGATAGTATGACTTGTGTTTTAGGAGCATTTCATTGCCACAGCGGCTATACAAGTGGGCTTGGTGGGCCAAATCACCATTTCGCACTTCATTACTTTTATATTGCATAGCAATAGTTCTGAGGACTAAAGGAATCAAAAGATATGGGGAGAAAGCAGGAACAGGGTACTGAGACGAATGGTCAGCCATGATCTTATTGAATGGCGGAGCAGACTTGACGGGCTGAATGGCCTACTCCTGCTCCTATTTTCTGTGTTTATATGTTTCTCTGTTACGAGGGTATCATATTGTTCGGGTACGAAAAATAGGAACAAAGCCACAGCAGTAACAGTTGAACACTAGGACTCACCTGGAACCCACTTGTCAATGTTAATGACTGGAGCTTTGTTCCTGTGGTGTAGGATGTTAACTGAACCTTTTGTCTCTCTCAATACCTCAAACACTCTCCAAGATACTTGCTGTTCTCTGTCCTGAGTGCAGATGGCTAATGAGAGATCAAACACTGCCTGGGACTTACCCGCTGTTGTATCAGCGCGTGCTTATGCTCCATTTCCCTTTTCTCCACAGCCGAGTCAATCACAAGCTGGTCCAGCTGAACAGGACAGAAACCAAAATAATCTGTTAGTCTGCACACACAGCGAGGCTCAGGAATTTCTACAAAATCACGGCACCTTTGTCCTAAATATCTTCTGAAAATGTCAAAAACAATATGAAATCGACATGATTATGAAATGTCTGGAATAATTCCTCAATTTTAGAGAATTTACTCTTTAGGAATTTAACCTTTTTCAATGCCAATTGTGGATTGACTAGCACCTGTTTCCAGAATCATTGGAAGTTTTTGTGCATTTCTTTGAATGAGATTTAGCAGGCCACACTTTCTGGGATGTTTTATGACAGAAGTCATCTCCAATTTGAGGGCAGTAAAAGGGGTGTTCCAGGTTTAACCAGGCAAGAAACATGCTCCCAGAATTCTCTCAGATCAGCTAAACCCTTTATGCAATAGTGATGATGAAAAGACAGGCAGAAAAAACAGAAAGGAGGCACGAGAATGTTTGTAAGGAAGAGGGAAATGAAAAATATAACTGCTATTGTGCACAGGGAGGTGGGGAAGATTGTGAGCTGTATTTTGCGGTGGGAAAGATAGGCTAGCACTTGCATTGAGGAAACCGGCGAAAGAGAGATATACATTTATATAACACCTTTCAAGACTTCAGGATATCTCAAAGCACATTACAGCTAATGAAGCACTTTCAAAGTGCAGTCACTGATGTAATGTTGGAATGTGTGTGCAGGTATAGAAACATAATGGGACAAACATCAGATTGAACTATGGAGGCAGAGGTGGAAAAAAAACATTATTAGCATGGACAAAATAAAATGGGAAAAAGAGTGCCAGCTCGAATTCTATGAGAAAGGGTGATGTGTATAGTGAGCAGCAGGATTGTTTTTCAGCAGGTGCTCAAGTAGGTGGCTCACTGGCACCATCTGATGGACAGTTTGAGTTGGGCAACAGATAGCAGGAACTGCAGATGCTGGAGAATCTGAGATAACAAGGTGTAGAGCTGGATGAACACAGCAGGCCAAGCAACATCAGAGGAGCAGGAAGGCTGACGTTTCGGGCCTAGACCCTTCTTCAGAAATGGGGGAGGGGAAGGGGGTTCTGAAATAAATAGGGCGAGAGGGGGAGGCGGATAGAAGATGGATAGAGGAGAAGATAGGTGGAGAGGAAACAGACAGAGGCTGGGATGGAGCCAGTAAAGGTGAGTGTAGGTGGGGAGGTAGGGAGGAGATAGGTCAGTTCAGGGAGGACGGACAGGTCAAGGGGCAGGATGAGGTTAGTGGGTAGGAGATGGGGGTGGGGCTTGAGGTGGGAGGAGGGGATAGGTGGGAGGAAGAACAGGTCAAGGAGGCGGGGACGAGCTGGGCTGGTTTTGGGATGTGATAGGGGGAGGGGAGATTTTGAAGCTTGTGAAGTCCACATTGATACCATTGGGCTGCAGGGTTCCCAAGCGGAATATGAGTTGCTGTTCCTGCAACCTTCGGGTGGCATCGTTGTGGCACTGCAGGAGGCCCAGAATGGACATGTCGTCTGAGGAATGGGAGGGGGAGTTGAAATGGTTCGCGATTGGGAGGTGCAGTTGTTTATTGCGAACCGAGCGTAGGTGTTCTGCAAAGCGGTCCCCGAGCCTCCGCTTGGTTTCTCCGATGTAGAGGAGGCCACAACGGGAACAGCGGATGCAGTATACCACATTAGCAGATGTGCAGGTGAACATGTGCTTGATGTAGAAAGTTTTCTTGGGGCCTGGGATGGGGGTGAGGGAGGAGGTGTAGGGGCAGGTGTAGCACTTCCTGCGGTTGCAAGGAAAAGTGCCGGGTGCGGTGGGGCTGGAGGGGAGTGTGGAGCGGACAAGGGAGTCACGGAGAGAGTTGTCCCTCCGGAAAGCAGATAAGGGTGGAGAGGGAAAAATGTCTTTGGTGGTGGGGTCAGATTGCAGATGGCGGAAGTGTCGGAGGATGATGCGTTGGATCCGGAGGTTGGGCAACTTCTGCTTTGAATGAATCAAAGCATTGACAAGTAAAGCACAAAGGAATAAAGAACAGTTCTACAGCATATTTCACATTGTCAGGATGCTCCCAAAGCACCTTCACAACCAATGGAGAGTAGTCACATTTGATTTGTAGACAATCACAACAATTTGCACATAGCAAGAAGCCAAGAAGAGCAAATGGGATGAATGATTAGTTCAGCTGATTTGGGGTCAAAAATAGTTGAAAGGCTATTTCAGCCTTATCAAGGTCGTGCTTTGCTTGGACAGATGATGTTGAGTTTGGGTTACTCTTCATTGGGCTCGGTGTGAGCTATAACAAAACCTCCAAAACTGAATGGTCCATCGACTGTCTCACCACAGAAACCAAAGTTGTTGGAGTTGTAACATTTGGATGTACGTTTAATAGGGGCTGAATGGAATGTTGGGAGCAAAATCTTTTTTAAAATTAATTATGGGACGACCTGGTATTTCTGTCAATCTTACTGTCTGCCTCAGTGAGTGTTGGAAGGATTCACATGTTGACACTTAACCTGTTTGGCTATAGATTGAATGCCCAGCTGTCAAGTTTTGAATTGAACCTAGAGTCTCTGACTCAGACGGGGATTACTAACCACTGTGCCACAAGACCTCATCCTTCCACCCACTGACATCTCTTCTGGTTCTGCCCCATTTCAAGGTTAAAGCCCTACCTCCAGATCTAGTTTAAATGTCATTAATGATGTACATCATTGCCGGCTAACATTATTTTTATGGATCTCATACTCCAACAGGTGTTCAATTGCTCTGAGTAAGGGATAAGGTTATAATTAAAATCTTCATTCCCAATAGCCACTGTTTTTACATTGCTTCAATGAAATGCAAAAAAAACAGCTCTTCTCTTTCTTAATTATGTCATTAATTAATCTTCCTGGGGACTTCGCACACAGTTTCAGTGCACATTTTTCCTGATATTTCTTGAACTGATCTCCTCCAAGATGCTGTCCATTCTCATGTGCTGAGAATTACTGCATTGACTTCATTCTAGAACTAGGTGCCATAGGATAAAAATTAGGGTCAGACCATTCAGGGGAGACGTTGGGAAGCACTTCTACACACAAAGGGTGGTGGAGGTTTGGAAGTTTCTTCCACAAATGGCAGTTGATGCTGGATCAGCTGTTAATTTTAAATTTAAGAGAGATAAATTTTTGTTAAGCAAATATATTAACGGATAGGGGCAAAAGGCGGGTATATGGAGTTATGCCACAAATCAGCCATGATCTCATTGAATGGTGGAATAGGCATGAGGGGCTGAATGGCCTGCTTCTGTTTCCATGTTCTTATATGTTGTAATAATTTGACATGCGAAAAATAAATGCAGTGGATTTAGAGCAAGTGGAAGTTATCCATCTACATGTGCATGTAAAAATAGTATTCACATTTTATGTTACAAATATAAGCTTTGTTGTTTTTTATTCTCTCTTCCCCAGTTTGTCCTCTTTGACTCCTCCAGCTTTTGCTAAGGTACAGCTCCCCATGAGCTGACTGCCCAGCTATAGCTTAGCTTGGACTACTTTTGCTTCTGGGCCAGAAAGTTGGGGGTTTGCATCCCACTCCAGAGAATTGAGCACTTGGCTGAGATTCCAGGGCAGTACTGAGAGACTGCTACACTGTTGGAGATGCTGTCTTTCATTTGAGATCTTACATTGAGGTACTATTTACTCCCTCAGGTAGTTGTAAAAGAGGAATCCAGTTCTTAGTGTTCTGGAAAAAAATCTCTAAACCAATATTGCTAGATCAGACCAATTGTTCACTATCACATTATTCTCTGTGGGTGCTTACTGTGTGCAACTTGGTCATCATGTTTTCTCCATCATTGATTATTTGGGTATTTCATTAGCTGTAAAGCATTTTGGGAAACACTGAGGTTGCTGCATAAATGCAAGTCATGCAAATAGTCATATTCTTAGGGAAGCTCAGATGGACATTGGTGGACTATTCAACCACTTGGCCATCACAATCTGGCCCAGTCCTACCCTCACCTAACATTTACTTCTGCTTATGTTCAAGCAGGAGTCACAGAAGAGAGAATCAGTACTAAAATCCTGGTGGACATTTGCCCCTCCCATTATCTCCAGACATTATGCTATTTGAGGGGGACAAAGCTGCTGAATCTATGTGCTCAGTACCACAATGGGCAGTGCATTTGTTCATTAAGTTACTGAAGCGACTTCTTAAATAATTAAAACAGGCTCGAGTTTATAACTTTTAATTCATGACTTCATCCACTTGCACTCAGGAATCTACAAATAATGTCAACAGATAAATCTTCTTCCATTAAACCCTTCTCCATGTTTCTCATTTACTACCTGTGACCTGCAATGTCCTCAAACTCATTAACTTCAAAAGAAGGCATATAGTCTGAAGTGATAAGATCTGCTAGTAACACCTTAATCTAAAAGCACAACAGCACCATAGGGACATGGAACAGTCTCTCACCTCCGTGGCCAGTTTTTTCATGTAGGGATCCAGCTCCTTAAGCAAGTCGTATCCTTGCTGGAAGAAGGTGTACTGTGCATGCATGAACGACAGCATCTGCACCACAGAAATGACAAACCATCAAACAGGTTTCAATATTCAACATTTTCCCTGAGATTGACCAAGTTCGGCAAAACAGCCATATTCATTTCACAGAATGCTCCTGGATCCTGCCAGAAATTTTCTTTAAAGGATAGTACAAAGATACAATGAGTGTCATTCCTCCACATATTCATCACAAACCCCCAACTAGCCTGATGTTAGAATGTCCATGCCAGAGAGTATTACTGATGAATATAATACAGTATGTGATTATTGAGTGTGTAACTATTGAGGTTGTGTGTTTGCAGAATGAGTATTAATATCCAGTGTTGGAGTCTTGCAGTGTTAATTAATTCCCAATGTTGCAGTTATACTGTGTGAGCTTATATCCAATGTTGGAGAGTTACAGTGTGAGTTTATACTAGTGGGAGCTTATATCCAGCATTGAGAGTGTTACAGTGTGAGTTTAT